ACAAGCACTACACTGGGTAGGGATTAGAAGACCAGAGCATTAATCATGGCTGCACCAGTAATCAGCTGTGTGACCCTGGATATAGCTTCTCATGTCTCTGAGGGTTGGTTTACTCTTTAAAAAGACTGGGCTGAAGAAACGTTAATGTCCCTGCTAGCTCCGAAATGTTGAGAGTTTGAGAACCTGGATACACTCTTCCTGTTAAATCTTTTTAAGTCTCATGAGCTGATGCTGACTCAAAAGAGGCCGCTGATAGTGAGTGTTTGTCATTCATAGTGGCCGCCCGATATCTGCCCATCCATGTGTAAGTCTGGAGATTTTCATTCCCCTTCTAACCGCATTTTATGTCTCAGTGAAGAGATTACTTCCACTACTGGAGAGGAACTGACTTTCTCGGCCTCCTCTTCAGCTGTGGCATAAGCTACATTTTGGGACCTGCATTTTGGGAAGAAAATATCCCAGGGCCACTGGTTATTCTTAAGATACTTCGGGAAGCAAGTGGTGCAAGTTCTCTCTCTCCGGAAGCAGACTTTTATTTTTTCCTCATCAGAACCAATTCTAAGGTGTTTTGGGTCATTTTCTTTTCCAGGCAACCTTGAGCCTTGTTCTCCAGTTCTGTCACTAATTCTGTGAACTACTGAATTCATTTTTAATACATCACCAGAACTTACCCTTCGAGGATTACTTTAAGTTTCATCACCTACTTTTTTTCAGACCACTTGAATATATTTTCTCTCAGTTCAAAGGTACTCATTTTTTTGGTCATTTAGATTGCTAATTCTAAATTGTATCCTGCTCTTTTGTGGTGTTGTTTAACAAAGCAATTAGACTTTTAGTCTGCAGGACAAGCTTTTTCCCATGGAATCTAGTAGAATGTTTTTATTCGTTCATTTATGCCTCAACTCTTCAGAAAAGGACCTATATCACTTATTGATCAGAACAATGAAAACACATCTTTAGTCAGGAAACGAGGCAATCCATGGGAAACTCCCAAGCACACATTTTGAATTGACGGATCTTTTTGTCATACTCTTCAAGAAGTTTCGATACTGCCCTCAGCTCTTGCTACCACATTTTGGTCTTTTGCCCCTTAATTCTTAGTTATTTCTTATGAAATGGTAAAGATTGGACAGTAAAACTAATTGTGGCAGTACTCAAGAAGGACTGGCCTGTAATGAATAGCATCAGAAGGACCTTGTGAAGAATTGCACTTTAAACATAAAATGTTGCAGATGAATTGAACAAAAGAAGAAATATGAAAAAAAATGGAAAAAGCGACTCCAGGGAACCCTATTAAAGAAAATATACTTACGTAACTTGACTTACTGAAAAGAGTAGCTGGGTATGATTTTTCAAATAGATATAAACACTTAAATGCAAATAAAACAAACCGAGTAAAATAGAAAAATTCTTTTACCCAGCACAAGGTGGCAGAGTTAGCTCTTACGGAGAAATAGTGTCCTCAATGCCACAGCCAATGGATTAAAATTGAATCTCTTTGCAAACTGGAAGACTAAAGTAATAAAAAATAGCACTGTGAAATTCCACACCACCTTTGCCTTATTCATTCCGCCGCCTTCCATTATCAGAATTCTCAGGCCACCCCCACAAAGAAATTATTTCGAATCCTGATTTACAGCAGGGAAGTCTGAGGCACATAGAGATTGTTATCTGACTAAATTTGTGTAGATCCATGAGTTCCTGACCATAAAGTTCACCATTTGTACAAGAGAATAATCTGCCTTTCTCAGATGGGTGTCTAGAGACAATGGATTGTGTAGCTATGATCCTTGCACTATAAAAGTTAGCCACCTAATGCAGAGGGCAGAAAAACATACAAAGAAGCCTCTGCTATCCATGCACTAGGAAGATAATAGCTTAACTGGCACACATAGAAGAAACTATAAGTCTACTCTTATGTCTATATTTCTTGCATGTTTATGAATTTAATACACCTATGGGAACATACCTAATAAAATTAGTCTGGAATGTTTTCCAGAAAAATGAACTTTGAATATAATTTTAGAAGACAGTGAGAGGCACAGTGAGACCAGAACCAATTCATCCTCCCGAAGTAGGAGAGCAGTATTGTTCAGCCAGGCATTTTACCCCATGGCATCTTATCTCACTGTTTTACCATCACTGCCTTCAGGGCTCTGAGGTGGTAAAGATGCTTACTCAGTGCTCTTGATTTCAGATTATGCCCTTAAGTCCACTGAGGTTCATTATCCCTAACACTTGTTCCTAACACCTTGACACCTTTTCATACTTTTATATCTACTTGAATGTAAAGATTTATTAATATAAGAAAACTAGCTTCTCCTGTGTAGCAACCTACAGAGTTTTAGTGCTTGCATTCTAAGGAGGCCTGCAGCAACACTCCAATCTATTGAAGCGTGCCCACTGATACACAATGCACTTTGTTTTAAAATTTGATTTCCTTCAACATTTTTCAAGACCTGAAGACAATCTAAGAGCGTCTGGGCAGACCTAGCAGCTGACTCATTTCACTCTCTTTTGATGTTGGGTCCAGTTTAAATTGAGCTACAGACAATCATACTAGAATGCAACCTTTCTCTGCAGGCCTATGGAAAGACTATGGCTGTTTGTCAAATATGTCTTCCTATTTCCTTTTTTGTAATATTTGGTTTTCTTATTTCTTCTACCAAAGTGAGCTGTCCGTTTCTTTGAGGGTTGATACCAAGAGTCTTAACTGTTTCCTAAAGGCAGAATGAGCACGTGGTAGTTCTCAAGGATTGTTGAGTGAATACTAAATACAAATCAATTGAAGCAGAATATGGTTTGGTGATAGTGAAGAATGAGGAAATCAATTGAAACAGAACAATAATTTCCCTTAGAGTAGATTTTGTAGATAACATAATTTGTCTAAATGGTAAGGTTGAGTAGTACCGACAGCAAATTATCATGCCTTGCTTTCACCAGTAGGAAGTGGACAGGATAGAAACATGCTCTTATCTGGACAGAATACCACTGTGACTGGGCACCCTCTCCTTTTCTCATTTATTAGAGGGGATGCTGTGTAGTCAATGAAAATATCAAAGAAAAATAAGAGAGCTTGGCTTAAAGGAAAACTTATTAAGACTCTAGGTCACTCATTAAGATCTGAAGTAAAGTATGTGATGGGGACAAAAATATCAGAGCATGAAAATCTATATTCACTCAGTGAAAGAAGTGGTCATATGGTATTGTTAAATGATTGTCAGTGTTTGTTTATATAAAGTACATTGAATTTGCAAATCAAAGTAAATTTAGAGGTGGTTTAGAACAAACAGGAATATTTTTTTTGAACTCGGGGAAGTGATACTCCAGAGGACAGATTGCCCCTTGGCTTTGACAGCATTTGATTATGATATAAAATATTCTTAATCAAAACAGATGGTTCTCTATATATTAAACCGGGGTTTTAAATTTTTTCTTAGGACTTTGAAGCATTACCAGGCCTAACCCTAGTACCAGAAACAGACTTGTTTGTGGTAGAAACTACCCTTTTAATTAAATGAAGGCACAGAGCTTGCGAAGCTGAAAGGAGATTGGAACGTGGCCTTTGTATTAGTAAGAGAAAGCCATAGGCCATTATTTGACTGAAGGTAATTCTTTCCTTACCCCTCCAGGCATGCAGGAAGGAAAGGGAAGAGAGAAATCTCTCTTGCCCCCAAAGTAATCCTTTTCCTTCCTTACTCCTTTCCCTTCCTCCCTCCAGGACTTCTTGCTGTATCTAGAGGTGAAAGGATCTGACCTTGAAAAAAGAACTTTATGCCTTCAGGATCCCAGTAGTTCAGGAGCATATTAAAGATGAGGGCCTGAAGCTGAAAGAGTGATAAGTGTTTTGTTTCGTTTTGTTTTAGTAGTTTAATAAAGACATTCTCTCTCACTCTGTCAGTCTAACTCTGTCTCTCTCATCTCTTTCAGTCCCTTATCATCTGTCTCTAAACTATTTTTTTTCCATAAACCTTAATATGATGAGCAAAGAATGATTGCTGAAGGTGTGCAGGAGGAAACAGGTGAGGAGTGTAGAGAAGGATGTACCTTTCTCTCCTAAGACTGAACATAGTCTTCTTAGTTCTCAGTAAGTGAAAAAATCCTTTCATGGTGGGTTCACAGCTGTCCCTTTTCTAATTCAATTCAAATCTAAAGCCACCTATTTGCTTTGGATATAGGATGTCTCACATAATTAGCTCAGGGTTTTTTTGTTTTTGTTTTTATAAGAACTGCACCTGATTGTATTTATGGTTCTCAACTCAGGATATATAGCAGAATTATTTAAGAGCCTTAAAAATTCTGACTTGCAGACCACTCCCATAATGGTTAAATCAGAATCTCTAGATGTGGGACCCAGGCATTTGTATTTTTCTTTTATTTTCAACTTTTAAGTTCCAGGGTACATGTGCAGTATGTGCAGGTTACATAGGTAAATGAGTGCCATGGTGGTTTGCTGCACAAATTAACCCATCACCTATGTATCTAGCCCAACATCCATTAGCTATACGTCCTGATACTCTCCCTTCCCCCACTACCTTCAAAGATCCCAGTGTGTATTGCTCTATTTGTTCTCATTGTTCACCTCCCACTTATAAGTGAGAACATGCAGTGTTTGGTTTTCTATTCCTGTGGTAGTTTGCTGAGGATAACAGTTTCTTGCTTCATCCATGTCCCTGCAAAGAACATGATCTTGTTGCTTTTAATGGCTGCATAGTATTCAATGGTGTGTATGTACCACATTTTCTTTATTCATTCTATCGATTGGCATTTGGGTTGATTCCATGTCTTGGCTATTGTGAATAGTACTGCAATGAACATACATGTGCACGTATCTTTATAATAGAATGATTTCTGTTCCTTTGGCTATATACCTCGTAATGGGATTGCTGGGTCAAATTGTATTTTTGCCTCTAGTTTTTTGAGGAATTGCCACACCATCTTACACAATGGTTGAACTAATTTTCATCCCCACCAACAGTGTAAAAGTATTCCTTTTTTTCAAAAACATTGAATGCTTCATAACTTTGCATGTCATCTTTGCACAGGAGCCATGCTAATCTTCTCTATATAGTTACAATTTAGTATATGTGCTGCTGAAGCAAGTACTATGTTTTTCAATACTTCAGACAATTCCAAAGTGTGGTCTAAGTGGAGGACCACTCTTTAGGGTCAGAGTTTAGGGTCATTTCAACAAACAGACACACAACATCCTGAGGCATTCATCTCTCATGCACATATTTTGACTTATTAACAGAGTAAAAATATGAAAAACATGTCAAGCTGGACTTTAAACATTTAGCTTTCTATAGGTATGAACAAGAAAACATGTACAAAAATTCCCCAGTAATATTAAATTGATTGATGCCTTACTGTACAAGGAGTAGTAAAAGTATATTTTAACAAAGTGTTCAAATTATTTGTGTCCACCTGGTGAATATAATGTTGGCTATGACATGGACTGAGTGTGTTTTCATATTAAATTGTAGTATTAAAGAGCTGTTTAATAAATCAACTTCTGTTATAGTGCTATGCTTGGATAAGAAGAGACATGATTGACAGTTTTGCAGTATCATGCTGAAAAATCCCACCCACTTCAAGATAACTAAAACATGAAGTAGGCTGTAAGTGGAAGTGTCTGGAGAATTACATTTTTTTCCCTGACAAGTGATGTATAGGATTTGATTTTTTAGTGTAGTAATTTGTTTCCAGTTTTGGTTAACTCTAAACTATCCATGAACATAGAACTCAGAGACTCCATATTTTTACCTGAGTTTTCACAATTACATATGCTATGAATGTATTTATTTACTCTGGGTTCATTACTGATGGAACAAAGATAAATAAAAATACAGCTTCTTCCATCTGGTTGCTCACAGTGTAAGGCATTACTTCTCAAAATATGGTCAGAATTACTTGGGAGCTGTGGAAATGGAGATTCCCTATGATTCTAAAGATTCTGATAAAAGTTTGCAGCAGAATACAGAAAGCTTCATCTTTACGGACTTCCACATGGAATTAGTGGAATTTATAATGTGAATCTTTTTGGAAATGGCATTGGTGTTCTGAAACTATCTGTGGTAAAGAACTCATTTAAAAAAATTTTTGCTGTTTGCTGTTATGAATAAAGCTGCTGTGAACATTCAAAAAATTTTAATCTATAAGAGACTAAGTAAAATCTAATAAAAATTAATATACAAGGAAAAAAAGCAATGAAGGGAAAACATACAAAAACAATCTCTGATTTTCAAAATTAGATTAAATAAACATAAAATTACTATGTCAGATTGCTATAAAATTGTTAAATGCCTGCTCTTAGTTTTTGTACTGATTCTGTTATAGGCTGGTAAGTAATTTGAAGACTGACACTGATCCACACACCAAAAATTGAGTAGTATTATTTCCAATTTTTGTTTAGAATAGTACTAATTCTTTAAAATACCAATAGGCTAGAAACCAAAAGAAAAGAGTCAATGGTCACTTAAGTTTGGGAAATTGTCAGATAAATAATATTTTTTTACAATGAAACATCTTAAAATGTCTGTTATACCAGTTTGTAAATGCAAAGGAAAGATAGCATGTGGGTTTTCCTAAAATTATTCAACCATGGTTTTGTTTTCAAGGGCTGATTAACAACTCTAAGAACCCAGTCTTTAGTTAAATGCAATTAAGGAAATGCTAATCTAGATAATTTCCCTTATTTTACAGTTGAGGAAACAGAAACCTAGAGATGTCAAGTGACTGGCTTATAGTCAAACAACTGTTTTATTTACCAGTTAACTGAATAATTAACCTAATTAAATTTGTTTATAATAAATTAAACAAAATTTTAATGGGTATTTATCAGGGTCAGGTACTCTACCATTTGCCTTGTCTTCCAGATTTATCATTGGAATTTTTTTTTGTTTTGAGACAGAGTCTCAATCTGTTTCCAGGCTGGAGTGCAGTGGCACAATCTCAGCTCACTGCAAGCTCCGCCTCCTGGGTTCCAGTGATTCTCTTGCCTCAGCCTCCCGAGTAGCTGGGACTACAGGCGTGCACCACCACACCTGGCTAATTTTTGTATTGTTACTAGAGATGGAGTTTCACTGTGTTGGCCAGGATGGTCTCAAGCTCCTGACCTCATGATCCACCTACCTTAGCATCCCAAAGTGCTTGGATTATAGGCATGAGCCACTGCACCCAGCCTGGATGGAATCTTTTATACACATGAAATGTCTGATCATCTTTCTCAGGAACACTTGTTTCTAATTTTTCTCCAGACACATATATCACTAATTTTCCTGTGTTGTTTGCTTTGTGTCTTTCAGTTGTTCTTTCTAAGATTTCCCTGCTTTTTACATGGTACTGGTACCAAAACAGAGACATAGACCAATGGAACAGAACAGAGGCCTCAGAAGTAATGCCACACACCTACAACCATCTGATCTTTGACAAACCTAACAAAAACAAGCAATGGGGAAAGGATTCCCGGTTCAATAAATGGTGTTGGGAAAGCTGGCTAGCCATGTGCAGAAAGCAGAAACTGGACCCCTTCCTGACACCTTACACTAAAATTAACTCCAGATGGGTTAAAGACTTAAACATAAGACCTAACACCATAAAAAGCCTAGAAGAAAACCTAGGCAAAACCATTCAGGACATAGGAATAGGCAAGGGCTTCATGACTAAAACACCAAAAACAATGGCAGCAAAAGCCAAAATAGACAAATGGGACCTAATTAAACTTCAGAGCTTCTGCACAGCAAAAGAAAGAATCATTAGAGTGAACTGGCAACCAACAGAATGAGAAAAAAATTTTTGCAAGCTACCCATCTGACAAAAGGCTAATATCCAGAATCTACAAAGTATTAAAACAAATATACAAGAAAAAAACTAACAAGCTCATTCAAAAGTGGGCAAAGAATATGAACACTTTTCAAAAGAAGACATGTATGAGGCCAACAAACATATGAATCGTTAATGATTGTTTCTTTTGCTGTACAGAAGCTCTGAAGTTTAATTAGAGTCAATTTGTTTATCGTGGCTTTTGTTGTTATTGCTTTTGGTGTTTTCGTCATGAAGTCCTTGCCCATGCCTATGTCCTGGATGGTTTTGCCTACGTTTTCTTCTAGAGTTTTTATGGTGTTGGGTTTTATGTTTAAATCTTCAATCCTTCTGGGGTTAATTTTAGTGTAAGGTGACAGGAAGGGGTCCAGTTTCTGCTTTCTTCACATTGCTAGCCAGTTTTCCCAACACCATTTATTAACACAGAGTCCTTTCCCCATTGCTTGTTTTTGTCAGGTTTGTCCAAAATCAGATGGTCGTAGATGTGTGGCGTTGCTTCCAAGGCCTCTGTTCTGTTTTGTTGGTCTATGTCTCTGTTTTGGTACCAGTACCATGCTGTTTTGATTACTGTAGACTTGTAGTATAGTTTGAAGTCTGGTTGTGTGATGCCTCCAGCTTTGTTTTTTTTTTGTTTTTTTTTTTTTTTTTTTTTTTTTTTTTTTTTTTTTTTTTTTTTTTTTTTTTTTTACTTAGGATTGTCTTGGCTATGTGGGCTTTCTGTGGTTCCATATGAAGTTTAAGGTGGTTTTTTCCAATTCTGTGAGGAAGGTCATTGGTAGCTTGATGGGGATAGCACTGAATCTATAAATTACTTTGGGCTGTATGGCCATTTTCACAGTATTGATTCTTCCTAACCATGAGTATGGAATGTTTTTCCATCTGTTTGTGTTCTCTCTTATTTCCTTGAGCAGTGGTTTGTAGTTCTCCTCGAAGAGGTCCCTTATGTCCTTTGTTAGTTGTAGTACTAGGCATTTTATTCTCTTTATAGCAATTGTAAATGGCAGTTCATTCTTGATTTGGCTCTCTTTTCGTCTGTTATTGGTGAATAGGAATGCTTGTGATTTCTGCACATTGACTTTGTATTCTGAGACTTCGCTGAAATTGCTTATCAGTTTAAGGAGATTTTGGACTGAGATGATGGGGTCTCCTAAATATACAATCATGTTGTCTGAAGAGACACTTTTCAGAAGAAGACATTTATGTAGCCAGCAAACATGAAAAGATGCTCATCATCACTGGTCATTAGAGAAATGCAAATCAAAACCACATTGAGATAACATCTTACGCCAGTTAGAATGGCAATCATTAAAAAATCTGGAGACGACAGATCCTGGAGAGGATGTGGAGAAATAGGAATTATTTTACATTGTTGTTGGGAGTATAAATTAATTCAACTATTGTGGAACAGAAAACCAAACACTGCATGTTCTTACTCATAAGTGGGTGTTGAACAATGAGAACCCATGGCCACATGGAGGGGAACATCACACATTGGAGTCTGTTGAGGGGTGGGGAGCTAGGGAGGGATAGCAGGGTGTGGGGAGATTGGGGAGGGATAACATTAGGAGAAATACCTAATGTAGGTGATGGGGAGGATGGAGGCAGCAAACCACCATGGCATGTGTATACCTATGTAACAATCCTGTAAGATCTGTACATGTACCCCAGAACCTAAAGTAAAATTTAAAAAAGAAAAACAGAAACAAAAGTCATATTCAGTAAAAAGAAAAATAAAAAAGACTTCCCTGCTGTTTATAACTGAGGATACTTTTCTGGATGATTTTGGCCTAATCTTAGCCAACTTTGTTAAGATTGACTAGTCAAGCAATCTGGTAAAAAGATTGGCATATTTGTTTTGTTTTGTTTTGTTTTTATTTCAAAGAGTATTTGCATAGCAGTTACTATGGGTCCATGTCTCAGCTACTACCAGCCAGACAATATTCTTAGCTTTTTACATATAGTAACAGATTTAAACTTTAAATTAATGATTTGAGATACATATTTTTATTGCATTTATTTGGAGATCAGGAACCTGAGACATAGAAATATTAAGTGGCTTGTCTGAGGTTATAGAGCTTATACCTGGTAATCTTAGGATTCCAACACAAGCAATCTGGTTCCAGAGTTCATGTTATAACAGGTAGAATTGTAGATCCACTTTATGAGAATAACAAGTATACAGGTTTAATGTAATAGAAAATTACCCAAATAAATGAGAATTATTCTAAAGAATTCAGGGTTGTGATGGTAAGGGATTTTAATGTTCAGATGAATGATTTTCC